CCAACAACAGAAATAAAGGGAACAAAACAGCCCAAAAACTATTGATTAATTCACATCCAAATTCCTGCTAATCTATCTGGGAGCCTCACCCAGCTTCGCTTCAAGATCTTACAGAAAAGAGAGCAAGTACATATCTGTAAACTCAAGGAAGCCTGAACCGCCTAGATGGGTTTCCCACCACACACCCTTGGATCTTCATCGGTGTCAACATTCTTGGCTATATTGTTATCTTCCCAACAAAATATTATATTTGTTATCTTCTTATAATGAATCTCATTGGTATAGGAAGGATAAAGGTTGAGTTCAATGACTTAACAACTTGGGAAAGTGATATTGCAAAGTGGATGGTAAGAAAAGGAGAAGATGCAATTATCTCATGAGGCAGGCAGTACGAGTTTAGTTCTCAACTGTGGATAACGAGGACAAATGATTAAAAAATGAAAAATTTTGCATCATGAACCTGAAAGTTGCATTTAGGTGCAGCACGCCCCTCTGACCACCGACTTACCCCGAAGCGCCCCTTCGACGATGGCTCAAGTTTGCCAAAAAAAAACTGGTGTTGGTTGGGCCTGAAATATTTTAATCAGCACCCTACGGGTACCGGGTCAACTTTTCAGCATACCCCTACCGGAGAGCTACTTGGCACCAGCAGAAATCTGACCCTACCAATACCAAGGCACAACGAAAAATTGCCCTTGCTTTTGACATGGATCTAACGAAAATATTTTGGGGCCCAAGGGCACAACAGGAAAGTCCACAGTCAAAGGGGCGCGCTGCAAATCAATGCAACTTTGTCATGATGCAAATTTTTCGTAAAATATTGTGAGGATCATGTTGTGGTTTGAAGGATGATGTGCGATGTACTTAAAATATGCCCTCCGGAGAGGGATTGTCGATTTTCCTAATAAAGAAACAACAGGTTCGACTTAGATCCAAAGACCCCTTGACATTTTGTGGATCAGATTCATCGGAGAAGATATCATCAGAGAAGAAAGAAAATGACGTAAGAAAATTTTGTTTTGCCTCACCCCCCACGCCGCAGTGCTTGCAATATCGATGGTATCTACAAAAGGTGGATAGTTGTTCACCTTCCTTATGACAGACTCGTAATAGGCAAAAACAAGAGCATTATCATTGTTGCCTGGAGGTTATTTATTGTACGCGCGCGCGTACGCACAAGAGAGAGAGAGAGAGAGAGAGAGAGAGAGAGAGAGAGAGAGAGAGAGAGAGAGAGAGAGAGAGAGAAACAATGAAATACATTAAAAGATATAAGAATATAGGTAGAGAGAGAGAGAGAGGATCACAACAAAAAATCCTTTATGGGAGTTCGTGATCAAAGTGCCCTTTTGTGGTTTAATTTATTTGAGAAGTTCACTTTAAAGGATGATAGGCGATGTACTTAAAATGTACCTTTTGGAGAGGGATTGTTGATTTTCCTAATAAAGAAACAATAAGTTTGACTAAGATTCAAATACTTTTTGGCATTTTGTGGATCGGATCTAGTTGAGAAAAAATAACATGAAATAAGAAAATTATGTTTTGCCTCACCCGCCACGCCGCTGTCGAGTGCACAGTCCCCGCAAGCAGGAACCTTCTGCTCGACAGGTGACGCCATTGTCGGGGATGACGGTTGCCTACCGTTGCCCCTAGTGGAACGATACTCGGGTTTGGTAATTTGAAATTTAGGCAAAATGAGAAGCTTTCATTAGACTTATATGGTTGATGATATAAGACCTTGACTATCGTTGGAGATGTCTTAAACCACCAGTACTTGGCCCAGCTATAGGTCGTAAAAAAAAAAACACTACTTTTCTAAGTTGGGAGGATGTCGTGGTCACATATGTTCTTAATGGAATGTTTCTAACTAGTATTTCAGTTAAATTTTGGATGTCGTTTTTTTCTACTTATGTTTTTTTCACATTTTTTCTTAGATTCCCCTGCCAGCGAGGCAAGGCATATCCCGTGATCTACTGAACAACCCTCGTTGAAGTCATACTCACACTTAAACACAGACAAATATATCTAACTAATTTCAGTTTAGGTTGTTTTCCCGGGCATCCGGTGTCGGAGCAGAAACCCTTACAAGGGTTCCTACCTGAGATTTTCAAGGTCAGACGTTGTTCGACCTTTTCACTGAACTGAGAGACTTGTGTCGGACACTATCTGACCCTTGATGGGAATGGCGTTGCCAAAGTTATTCAAACTGACCATATCACTTAGAGGTTACGACCATCTTTTAAGACAGGTTTAACGTCGTTGACGTCCGACCCAAAAGGCCGGATAATGATAGTGCGATCACGACGTTCGCAACCTTCATTGAGAATGCGGAGGCATGCGGTCGACAAAGACCTATGACCAGACCGCCCTTACCTAAGGGATGTTGCGTGGCATAGGTCGCGCATTCCTGAGTTCATGTGAGTTATACATGGTGGTCGTGCCATGAATATGATCACTACATGTGTGTCGTGGAACCGGGCGGCTGCCGTGTCGACGGCATCACGGCTGGGGTTGCAAAAGAGGATAGGAGGGCTGCTCGTTCTACTTCATGAACAAGAGTTAGCCCAGTAGGTCACAATATTGGATTCTCACCCAACAAACACCAGGATCAAGCTCGACATGCGTCAACTGGGCTAGCTCCTTTTTGGGAGCTTCCCATGACAGATCAACACGGTTAATTTAAACTGCATGATCTGTGTGATCGTGCGACCGAGATTAGCCACGGGGGATCTGCATGGCCCCTCCGCAAGGATGTCACTCATAAATTGAGAACTGGTCAATTTTTTATTTTTTTTTTCCGTCGTGGATCCATGATGGGGGTCGAACTTAGATCTGTGTTTCAGTTTGTCGATGTACAACGAATTTGAATTGGTCATTGGCTTATGCCAA